AAACTTAAAAAAAACAAACAAATGCAAAGTTTTAACCTGTCAACTGATAATGACATCTTGAACTAACAAAATTAATTCTGCTTCTGGACCTCTTAAAATCAGGTTCTATGAAATGTTTATTATCACAACAAGCCACATAGAGTGACAATATTGCAAATGTTCTTTCTTCAAAAGATGACTTTTACTGGCTGACTTCCACAATTAAATTTAACAGATACTTACTAATGTTGCTTTAGACATATAAGGACAGGGAAATTAGGGTTGGAAGACTATGTTGCACCAGTAATGAGAGTTTTGCTTGCCATGAAAACCAGTATTCAAAATTTAGGTTTTTTACCTGGCCTCAGACATCATCTGCTAACAACAGTGATGAAATATATAGCTATTGTAGGCAAAGGTATAAAAATTAAATCCTATATATATTTTTCAACCAATAAAATCAGAAGGTTTGTTTTGATAAACAATCATTACTAGGGGAAATAATGCCAAAATACAAGGCAGACAAATTTGTAGACCTACAACATGTTATTTTTGGACCATTTAGAAAATAACAATAATAACTCCCTTCATCACCCTTGCAAAATCAAGAAAAAATTTTCATGAATCAATGTAAGATTATTTTCTAACTAATGAAAATCTTGTATTCAAAAAGTTCACACCTCAGTGCGAAATCAGATTTTGGATCCATATTATGGATATAAAAATAGAAGCCTACTGCTTCTTGGGGCTCAAAACAATTTTGGAGGCCAGTTTGGTTTACACATGTATACACACGCATGTACCTGCACACATGCACACAATGAAAGAGATGACAGCCAGCAGCCACTGAATAAGGCCTTCTCTACAAACTCACAAACACATTGGCTAACCGTAATAAAATAAGTGTCCACACATCTCACATGGACTAAGAACATTTAATTACATTATAAAACAAACTTCACTACAAGGAAAATTGAAAATTCTCTTGTTATTGCATATTTCTGAAAAGAATATATAAATGTTATTTCAACTGACATTCAGTTTCTACATTTTGTTCAGAAAATAACATTTTTATGTTTCATTTAAAAGACGTGATGTTAAATGTTTAGAATCCTGACACTCAGATGGCAACAAAAATCTGGATAGATGGATCCCAACAAGAGGTACATGTATACAACACAGGTATTGCATGCCTTAAAATTTGTCCAGAATAAATAATTTTTGTGTAATAAAAATTAATTATTTTTACACTATTTACATTATTCAGACTATTGTCCTCATCTTTGTTGCCATATTTATCACAACATTTCAACCATTGTACACTCCAGCCTTCTTCAGATGATTGGAATGTCAAACTGAACCCTTCATTTCACTCACTGGAGTAGACTGTTCTAGTTTCACATGCCATGTCTAATGGATGTCAGTTATCAGTTATCTCCTGTTAATTCACCTCTCCAAGTTCTCCAAAATTCGTAAGCTTAAAGAATCAGCACATATGCTAGGCCACAAAAATCTCCTGAGCTGACCAAGCATAGAAATGAATACAATATGGGAACCAATAATAAGAAATGCCAGAGAAAAGCAATAATAACAATGAAAATTGCAATATGAGCTCTGGTAAAAAACATGCAATGATAACAGCAAAAATTGCAATATGAGTACTGGTAAAAAATGGTTGCTGAAGACATTAAGTTTATAAGTCCCAAAAATTCATATATAGATGTCCTTAAGGACACATGGCACAGTGGATAAAAGTTTTGGTTAGATCCAGTGACAGGTCACAAAGAGCTGTGTGTTCAATACCTGGTTAAGGCAGTAGAGAACTTGGTGAGGTGAATTAACAGGAGATAAATTAGACATGGCACATGGAACTAGGACAGTCTACCCCAGCGAGTGGAAGAAGACCGGAGCGTACAATGGCTGAAATGTGATAAATATGACAACAAAGATGAGGACAATCGTCTGAATAATGTAAATAGTGTACATAATACCTCATCTCAGAAATATAGATTAATAGTTTTTACTTAAAATAATAGTGTAAATAGAGAAGCAATCTGTTTCCATATACCACTTGAAGCACGGGTAGAGATAATGTAGAAGAACTGAATGAAAGATAGCTGAGTTGTTATGGTTGAGTGAGCATGAAAAAAGTAAGAAAAAAGCAGTGGCCTTATGTGCTTCTTCGTTTTGAAGAAGATGAAGATAGAGCATGGTGTTAAATCTTTCTACAACAAAGTAAACAAGTAAGTTGTGTATTCATCATTATTATGAGAAATACATGACTTACTCATGCAAACTGTAGAATCAAATACAAAAAATAAATTAATAATTTCTTCTATTAACCTTTGTCACTCTGTATGTGACTTTATTTGCTGTAAAAAAAATTTCATCCTGCCACTGAAGGTGACTTTGATCCCTGAACAATAGTGTGTTTGAATTTCATACTTGTGTTGTCATATCCTGCTATGGCAACAGAAAACAACCTTGAGTGAAATTAACAATATGGATACTGCAATTGAGAAAAAGAATGCAGTGAAAAGGGAAGTAATATTAACAATGCAGAGTGCTAAAGGTTAACTAACTATTGTTTTGCTTTGGAAATATTTTTCCTTCTGAAATTAAACTCCATTGATGTCATTTTTGCCAAAAAGAATTGAATTAATTTACAAATAAATACATTTTAAACATCTTATTATTTGTTCATTTTATTATTTTCTCAGATTTCCCTTATAACTGTTAAAAGTCATCATGAACTGCATACCAAATGACCCTTCACCACTATCTCAGTCTGCCTTGACTCTCAATGCTTTAAAGACTGACAAAGATATTTATTAAACTTAGCTTACTCTGACACAAGGTTAAATCAAGGAGGGATAAATTAAAGTACAAGGTGTGTTGCATCAATTATCCAAGTGTTAATTTACCTTTCTGCTTTGAAAAAATAGCCTTCAATAACTTAATTTGATTTTTTTTTTTACCTGTACTTGACTAAGTTGTGTATTCCTCATTATTATGAGAAATACACAACTTATTCAATCAAACTGTAGAATCAAATACAAAAAATAAAGTCGTAAGTTCTTCTATTAACTAACATTTTTGTTACTTTTGAAATATTTTTCTTTCTGAAATTAAACTTCATTGACATCATTTTTGCTTATTTGTATCAAAGTTTGGAGATAGAATTAAAGCATAATGAAAATTTTCTTCTACTAATTGGATTTCCTTTCTTACAAAAGCTGGTCATTTAGTCACCTGCTGTTTGCATAATAACTTAGCTTCTAACAGTAATCGAGAGCCTGGCATCATAATATATCCTTCCCAAATATCAGTGATTGATTTTGCATGAATAAAATTATGTCTGGAACCATCTTTTCACTTTATATCACTACCATCATTATCATTACTATTGTAGAATGTGTCAGCAGAAGTCAGGGTACAGCTTGCATAGAAAAGCATGAATATAAAGGTGAAACATAATGAAAACAAGTAGAAAGAATGATGAGAAATAGGATTGAGACTTAAGAAAGAACCAACTTTTTTTTTAACTGATATAACTTTGTAAAGCAAAATTGGGGTCAGTTTTGTCAGTGCAATTTGTCAGTTTGAGGTTTTAACAAGAGTGGTCTGAAATTTAACATACTGTAAAGCTTACATCCATATCAAGTTGAAAGTTAAGCAACATTGAGCCTGGTCAATACCTAGATGGGTGACTGCTTGGAAATACTAGGTTGTGCAAGCTTGGATGTGTGGGTAGTATAATGGTTAGCTTCTCAGAATTTAAACTTAGAGAGTCAAATTTCAATTCCAGTCAGGTTTGTGATATTCACTTATGTGTAAATATGCTTAGGAATGGTATGAATCCACCTTTTCTCTCTTCAATTATTGGTCATATAGTATGACTTATATCAGTAAATTATTATTATCTCCAAAAACCTCTTACAATCTAAAGAATTTTCTGGATTAAATAACCTGCAAAAGGTGTTAAGTTGTAAAAAACAATTAAAAAAATTTAGCATGTTGTGATCCACTACTGGCCTGGAAACACTTGTTTTTAATTGTAAACTTCTTCACAACAAATGTTGTTTATTGAGGTTCTGGGATCAAGTATTTTCATTATTTCATAAAATCTTAAATAATTTTATTAATTTTCATTGTTTTTTTGTTACAATATTCCGGCTGTCATTTTCTTTGGCTTTCTTCAGTGTATGTTGCATTCTGTCATTTTTAGAAATCAATGAACATTTGCTTTTACTCTTGCCTGCTCTTAACATGATTTTTCTCTGAGATTCCTCCAGTCATAATGAATTGTTGTACTCTCGACATGGTTCTATGCTTTGAGTATCTATTAGGTCTCAAGTTCACTCCAGTTAAAGTGGAACTCATATATACAATCCATTGCTAAAGATGCTGGAAAAATTGTTGTAATTTTATGATGTCAAGTACCGACGAGTTATTCCCCATGATCAGGAACAATTTAGGATGGAACTTGAAAAAGATTTTAACGGAACCATCCCATGAGATACAGACTTATAACCACCTTTTTGAAGTGGCATGTAATAAAGTTCAAACGACCTTAATACTCTTTCCTTGTTGTTATTCCTAACCCCATTCTGATAAGAATACTACAATGGTCATTTCATTCTGCTACACCAGAAAGTACCTGACTCCATCTGCCATGCTTTATTTTTGCAGATTAGGTCAAAAGTGGCGTATTACTGCTATATCTGGGCTGGAGTTGACTAAACCTTACTTCCCAACCTTGATAGAGTTCAAAATCATTTATGCCATTTTGTGAAGGATGACTTATTTTACACTTTGCCACCTCTTTCCCCACAGATGAAATGTTGCAAGCTAATTACTAAAATATTGCCATTTCCATATTGGGTGGAACATTTATATAAATTCTTGCTGTACTGATTTTCCTGCATGTGCAAAAAATCCTTGCAACATTGAGATTTATGCATACATATTCCTTAATTATTCTTCTCCTCCTCCTCCTCCTCCTCCTCCTTTCTTCTTGTCATATCACATTGACACATCAGTTCTCATATGAAAGTTAAGCAATGTCAAGCCTGATCAGTACCTAGATGAGTGACCGCTTGGGAATACCAGGTGCTGTAAGCTTGAATGTGTAGGTAAGTGTAATGAATAACAGCTCAGAATTGGGAATTAAAGAGCAGAATTCTAATCTCAGTCGAGTTCATTATATTTACTTATGCACCAATAACTTTGGGAAAGATATGAAGCCAACTCCTCTCCCTCCAGCTATGGGTTAATTAGTAGGACTTGTATCAGTAAATCATTATCTCCAAATGACATTCTTACAATCTAAAATAATTTTTTCTGGTTTTAAATAACCTGAAAAAAGTTGATAAGCTGTAAAATAAATCAGTCAATTTTCTTTTTCTTTATAGGATTGAATAATTTAATATATGCAATGGATGAAAGTATGTCTTTCTTTCTTTCTTTCTTTCTTTCTTTCTCTCTCTCTCTCTCTCTCTCTCTCTCTCTCTCTATATATATATATATATATATATATATATATATATATATATATATATATATATATATATAAACATGTTCCTCAACCTTTCATCTGTTCATGTTTGACATAGACACTTCTGACTGAATGAAATAGCACAATGATGACAAAGTGCGAAATCAGTCACTGAGACAAACCACTGTCCTATAACTACCTTACCTATCTAGACAATATTAGGAATATCTTAATTATCTTATTCAAATTATTAATTCTATGCTTAAGATGTTTTCTTCTTGTTTATTAACCATAGCTTGGTTTGACACAAGTATGGGCACCAAGTGAAGATCAAATTTACTAGTTAGTAATGATCAATCAGATGTGATTGCTACCATTACCTCATACTGAGTTGCCCAACTTTCTTTCTTACTCTTTACTGACTCTTTCTTCATATTAACTATGAATTCTCTTTCTCGTTCTTTAACTTATATCACCTCTCATCCAGTTGACACTCCTCCTCAGTCTTTTAGTCTCTCTTGTTTCCTGTTTAAGATTGGGTTTCCAGTCCCTTCTAAATTCTACTTGAACTCTATACTTCTAACATCTCCACCTAAACTCTAAAATTTATAGTATCATTGGGTTTCTGGTTCCTTCTAAAGTCTTTTCCTTCTCTTTTATTTCCAATTGTCCCTTGCATCTTATCAGTGTTATCACCTTGAATTGATTAAAGAAAAACTTCATTTAGAATTTCCAGAAGAGACTTGTGGGCAATTAATTAATTTCCTCCCTACAGCCTCTTTCCCACAAATAAAATTTTGCAAACTTATCACTACTTTATTACTATATGCATGGTAAATATTCAAATGAGCTACATTTCTTAGTTATACCAGTTTGGACCCTTACAGCTAAGACCTACCCCATACCACATTCACAGAGTTGTATTCTCCTCGTTATCTCCATCTGAATGAAGTTCTACTCAGACATCTTATTCCCAAGAACTGCTACTTTGTGTAACAGGTTCCTGAGAGGATGCTTCCCCCAATCACTACAATCTTAACCTCTTCAAGTTTAGGATCAACCATTATGTATACTACATATCTTACTTCCCCTTCTTATATGCATTTTGGGAAAATGAAATAAAACCAATAAATAAAATAATAAAAAAAATGGAAAAGAAATTTGTTTTCTCATAGTGCAAGTTATAAAGAAACCAGAAAGGGTTTTTGATTACAGTGTTTTAACCACACATGAAATAAATGAATTTGTCATTCCAACACAGCATAAGGCTGACTTGATCTCAACCATTTAAGCCATTGTTATTCTAACTTACTTCTGAACCAAAAAGGAAAATGGACACCACAAGAGATATTAAGAATTAGGTTTCATTAGAGTCACCATAACAAGAATAAACACCCGTAGTAAAAACTCGAGTTTTGTATGCTTCTATCCTTGTTTTTTGTTTATATATTGAACATGTACTTTCACCTAAAATACATACAAACACATAACCTGTTAACTTGCATACAATACAACAACCTCTATCTAAATCTTTTTGGCTAAACAGTTGAACTGTCTGCCTCTGGACAGAAAGGAACCTGGACGAGGCTCCGCCGAAGGGCAGAGTCTCGTTCGGGGAGGTTGACTGACCCTGAACCCGTTTATACAGGTTCGAAAGGGAATATTTTTGGCCAAGTCTACAGGCTCAGAGAAACCACATTAAACCTGCCTTGTGCCACATGCAACCCTTGTGGGTGGGTAGCTAAATATAAATAACCCTCTACCTTAAATGACTCTTGGGCCTTGTATTAGTTGAACATTTAGTAAAAGAAACTGTTAGATATAACTGAAGCTAAATTACCAGTAGACCACTTTATTCAATTAAATTAAAAAAATATCCATATTATTTGGTTTAGAAAGCTGATTGCAGGGTGCAGTTGAATATTCACAAAATTTCTAAAATCATTTCTGGTTCATTTTAAAACTATGCATCAGTTATTTTATAAAAATAATATTTATTTAGACAAGAATGCAGCTTGGTATATTTGCCCATAAAAAAAATTAAAATCATTTTAAGATGATATTTTGATAATTTAACACATTAATGTCTGCTGTCCCATTTTTGGAATGGGAGGCATTAACAATTAAAAACCTATAATAAATACTGTTTTTTCATATATAATTAATACCAGATGTTTATTTTAATTCTTATAATTAATAATGGATTTTGCATTGGGTATATATAGGTTTTAAGCATATTTGCTTAAAAAAAAGAAGCAAAAATTAAGATTTTACTGATAACCACACATTCTCTCTCTCACACAATCATACATAAATAAATACTCACCCTTACTTACATATTCTCTTTCTCATACATTGTTGTGGATCCCCAAGGGCGGCAGGGTGGCAGGGGGGGGGAGGCTGCATGCCTTGATTAAATTAATCAAAGGAGGCTTGCAAACATTTAAAAGTACAAATAAAACATAGATCTGACAAGTCAATGAACAAAGACAACAATAATGAGTTTACATTAACAAAATGTAAAAAATGATTTATTTACAGCAAAATACAATTTAATCACATAAATTGAATGCAAGATGTTGTTAATGTTCCAATTGAATCAAACAGAATTAAGGGATGGCAACTCAAGAAAAAAAAGTGAGCAAAGGTCCCATATGGAACAAGGTTAACACAAAATTCACATAACAAATAATAACATGAAATAGGGTTCCTGAAAGAAATTTTACAATAAAATTTATACATTTTTATGAATGTAAGATCCTTAGAATCAATCGGAGAGTGAAATATATCATATATGTGATAGTACATGGAAAGAAAAATTCATGTTTGGAAACGAACGAGGTAAAAATGTTCATGTGTTAAGGTGACAGTAATAAAATTGCATAAAATTGCTTAAGGACATGTGGCACAGTGGATCAGGACAAATAGCTGGCAGCAGCTTCCTATGAAACATGGCATTCAACAGGTTTTGAAATAGGAACACCAGAATGAGTTTAATGTGCAAGACTGAGGAAGTAGAGGGCTGTGTGGCCATTGGGTAGACACAGTCAAAATTTTGAAAATCAATACCTGGTTAAGGCAGTGGAGAACTTGGAGAGGTGAATTAACAGGAGATAACTGATAATTGACATCCATTAGACATGGCATGTGAAACTAGAACAGTCTACTCCAGTGAGTGAAATAAAGGGTTCAGTTTGACATTCCAACCACCTGAAGAAGGCTGGAGTGTACAATGGCCAAAATGTTTTGATAAATACTATAATAATCTGAATAATGTAAATAGTGTACATAATACCTCACCTCAGAAATATAGACAGATACAAAATAGATGATATAACACACAAAATCTGTATTGCTTACACGAAAAGATAAACCAAGATAAACCAAAGATTAATGCAAAAATAAATGATACTGACTAATCTTGATGACTTAGGTGATATGTACCTAATTAAATGAGAAGAGTCAATATTTGAATTAATGTCAGCAGAGTCCTCTGACAAAACAGGGGTTGACTGGAAATAAAACAATGTTCAAAAGGGAAAACTGTTAATGTAGTTAGTCTGATGTTATGTGGTTGCTGACTGTTAAATAAACAGATATTATCTAAGTCCCCTTTGAAATAAAATTGTCAGAAATTCATCAAAAGCATTGATTAACTATTGAAATGGACTTGGCTGATGTCAGGACAGAAAGCTGTCTATAGAAATTAACCAATGTTACAGTACAAGTTGTTTGATGTCATGACGAATAGCTGGCCACAAAAATTAACCAATAAACAGTAGGTTGTCATTGGGGAAAATAGCTGGCTGCAAGTATTAACTGATATTATGGATGAAGATGGTTGCAGCTTCTTATGAAATATGGCATTCGATAAGTTCTGAAATAGTAATGCTAGAACAAATTTAATGTGCAAGATCATGAGGAAGTAGAGGGCTGTGTGGTCATTGGCTATTTTTAGTCTGGGTAGACACAGTCAAAAAAACCTTAGTATCAGGATATGACACTCACCTTTGCACAAAAGTTTCCAACTAGCATCCAGTTGGCAGACAAAAAAAAATAATTAAATATTAAGTTACAAAGATTTACTAACAATGTTATGTATTATTCAAAAGGAGTGTTTAGATTGTGTCTCAATAATCAAACATCTAAGAAAAAATGTAGTCAATCATTAAATCTGAATAAACACATTACATCACATAGAAAAAGGTCAGTGATACTAAAGAGGAAGGGCAAGTTCACAAAATATATTCCGTCTACCATGATAATATGAACGGAGTAGCAAAGTGCTACAATAACATACATACACACTCTCATACATAGACACATAAACACACCAACATATATTAAAATACGATGGTTTATTTTAACAGTATGACAATAGAGTGGAGATGCCCAGTCAGTTGATACAACAGTCAAAGGTTTAAATCAACTTTAATTGATTTTTAATGGTTTAGGTCAGTGTTACAGTTTTGAAGTGATGTTTTTATTTTGTGTTATTTATCAAGAGTTGATGTTAGTGATATTTGTCAAAAGTTTTGAGAGGAGATGGTTTATTTAGATTAATATTCTTATCTTTCTTGTATTTAACATGTTTCAGCTACTCACTTCTCCAACCTTCTTCAGGT